GCTCCCTTTTAGTTAGCACGTATTGATAATAAAAGTAGTGAAGCTAGTCGACTTACAGTGAAGCGCCTGAATGTAATACTGAAATACATATCCGAAATATTACTTAAGCGAATGGATCACATGACGTCTTAAAGGACGTCAAGGCATGTAATATGCCAACTACATTCTACCATGGAACACTCTGCCTCCAACTGCCAGCGCCATGACACACTTTAAAGGCATAATAGTGAGCTTTGAATCTCAGGTTGATGATTTGATATACCATTGAGATTCACTATATGCTGGCAACAGTGTTGACTCGATATTGTCAACCGAAAATCAGACATCTATGGTGCAGCCTGAGGATGAAGGTCTCTGTGCTGATCTCCTTACACCATTCTCAGATTGTTGTCTACCTCTCAAGCTATCATTCGAACCATATCAGCCTCTGTTACTGTTTCATCTACGTTCATGTCCGCTTTTTTTCCTGGCAGCTCCTCTATACTGATCTGCTTCTCGATGTTCAGCTCCTCTCAGCCCACTTTCTGGTAAGCTTGCTGCTTCTTGAACAAGACTACAGCCCAGGTGGCTTGGTGGTGTTCATGTAGAAAATGGTAGGAGGTCGAGTTGTAAGGATGCCATTAGTGAAAATGGTAGAGCCACTGTCTCCTGTTCTCTCTGAGTAACAGCCTGACCTCCCCCATCACATTAATGAACGGATTATAGTTCCCTGTTGCAGCTCACAATATTCCACAATAATCGCCACTCTGTCGATTATCACTCATGGAACGGGTTTTCAAATGTGCAATAAATCCAACGCCCTCGCAAGCCCGGATCCTAGTGAACGCTTAACGTGACCTGGACTAGAAGCGATATGATATCGAGACGGTTTAAACAGAGGTAGATAAAACTCGCTGGCACCATGCGGGTATCAACTTCTCTTCACCCTTTTCTAAAGCTCGAGCATAGAAGAAATGTCAAAGAGCGCGGGGTGCTTACACAACGAAGAAGAAGATCAGAAACCATTGATTTTCATGGTTTGGTAAGTCTACACTTATTGCAGTGTTTCTCTCCTTTTCCGCTTCCATACTCACCTCAAGTTGCTTTTTATGTCTTATGAATTTATTTAAGGACTTCAAGTCGTCGCGGCTGAATAGTGTAGAGGTTATCACATCAGATTCTGAAAAGAGATATTTCTGATGACCCCGGTTCGAGTCCGGGTTCGGCCTCTTTTATTGGTCTTAACATTGACAAGTGGACCTTTGAGATCGTAAGCAGGGGAGTCAGATAATAATATGATGTGCTTTGGAGATATCTGGTTGTCTACAATTGCTATGGCGAAGATCCAATATTTACAAGGAGCGTGAAAAGTTGACAACACGCTGTCATCGTCGCTTTTTAGTCGTTGAGAGGTCAGGGCGCTGTCAGCAGTACAAACAAGCAGCGGACTAGCAAGATGTGCATCTTGCTGTGCATAGGATTAAAAGCATGCACCAACCGTGAGACCGTTGGTGAGGTATCTAACATCAAATATGGATGGGTATGACAAAACGAGAATGGGGAAGCAAGAATAAGTGATGCAAAAGGAGAACTACAAAACCAAGCGGATGATGAATAACGTACAAGGGAGGGAGGATCTAGAGTACAGAACGATAGCTTCGATGAAGTCGGGTTGGGGGACAAAAACCTTGGGGATGAAATGTCCATGTACGACCTTGAAAGCACACCCGCGACTCCCGATATGACTTTGTATGTAGGATATACTGGACGATAATAATACATATTTGCGGCCATTGCGTGATTTTGGTGATAATAATTTGCAGGTCGCTTGAGGCTATTCTGCCTGGGTGGCCTAGGGTGTATAGACTGGGGTGTATTCCTTGGTTGGGGTGTTGAGGCTTGGATTTGAAGCTTGATAACCGCTGTAGTAGCAACAGCAGTAGTGATGTTGGGTGTCAAGTGAGTAGGATTAGGCACCGGACTACTGCTGAATCAATACCAATTAGCTCCTGACATGTTTATGAAAGAAGGTATATCGATAAGACTTACCTAACAGGTGGAGACTTAGTTGAAGCTTCAGGTGTGGTCGCTGTCGGCCATTATGGTCTACGAGTAGCAATTTCAGAGATTCCTAGTGGTAGCAGTTGGTTGGCATATCGCAGTTCTGACCATTCTCAGAAGGCCAAAGACGCTTTGGTAATCTGGTCATCACGTGCTAGATCCAGGAGAAAAACTATCGTGTCCAAAGTAAATGCATGAAAGGCAAATGCTGATTTTGGAGGAGGAAGTTTGGCGCGAAGAACAACTCGGCGGAAACAGTCGGAAAGTCCGTCAGCTCTCAAGGCGAATTGGGGACTCATCACTACGATCACAAAAAATCATACTCCACACCAACCTTGACATATGTCTACTTCCTCCCTTGTAATTCCAGATGGCCTACCTCAAGAGGTGGCAAAGTGGAGCAAAACTCATGTGCAAAATTTTTTGGAGGCTAATAAGGCCGAGTATTACATCGAAGATGACGACATCAAGACTCTTGAGCAGAAGAAGGTTACGGGAGGGATTTTGCTAGGATTAACATCCAAGAGGCTTGAAAATTATGGACTCGTAGAGGGTGCTGCAGATCTCATTGTGATGATTGTGGAGCAGTTGAAGGTGGTAAAGGAGATTGGTGAGTCCGATTGTTGCAACACTAGCTTTAGAATCATAAACCTTCTCTAAACTTTGTCTCTTTATAGTTCAACTACCTACCGCCAAAGCTGGTGAGTCAAGTTTTGCACGCCTGGCTGTAGGATTGGGATTGATCTCACCTTTGCCACGAAACTACGGAACAGAGAGAAAGCGTCCCAAGGAGGGACGATCTGATGAGGAACAATCCAGTGAAGATACTGAGCAGGCAAAACGCCGGAAGTTGAATGATGGTGGGTTTGTTTACGTTTCTCGGTTCTTTCTGTTCGTATCAAGGATGGTCTTTAGAGCAAGAGAGAGTTGTCCAGTATACCCGTGGAGGACCAGCACCGTCTTCTGAGGCTCATCATGGAGAATTCCTGAGAAAACAGGAGAAACGCGGCGACATTCTAAATGGCAGAGGCGTATCACATAAAGACAATACTGGACTTCCCGTGTGCCTATACAGCGAGGCTTTTGCTGATTTTGAAGCAGCAATCATAAACCAGGAGTTCGAGCCGACTGCTGAACAATATTCCCTCACAGAACGGTTATTCGGCGTCGCTAGCAAGCTATATCCACTAAAAAAGGATCGCGAGGAGGCCGTCAAACCTCTTTTGGAACAGCTCATTGGCTCAGTGTTCTATGAAGTACCGTCCATGAGAGATGCTCAAAGTGACACCGCCTTACTAACCCAGTGCCAAGGCGATTTGATGGCTGTTCGGGTGCTGATGGAGATGAAGAATGAGATTGGGACCGGCGGGAGTGACCCTTCTATCCAAGGAGCTTGCTCTTACAAGTTTTATTGGTCCGATGATAGGGTATGTCAATTTTCCCTCTGCATTATTATAACTGAAGTGACACAACTTCCGATAGGCTGATCGCCTCCGGAAGTCTTGTTGTTGTCCAACTTTCATCATAGCCATCGCGGGACCCTGGATGTGTATTCTAGGGGGGGTCTTCGTTGGAAAAGTTGTAGTCCAACCACTAACCGACTATATCTGGCTGGGCAATGGGACACACCTGGAGCATCGCCTAACCTTTGTAACCAAAGTCTTCAGAGCTCTCTCTGAAGGCCAGAGGACTCTTGATAATTATTACAAGAGGTTACAATTGGTACCTCAACCCGTTGAACGCTTCTATCCATATCCACGAGCCTTTGGCGATCCACAGGCGTTAGATAATATCGTCTACATCAAAGAGCTAGTTGAAGGAAACCCTAGCAAAGCAATCTTCAAGGCGCGGGTGGTTAGCTCAGGGCAAGAAGTTGTGGTCAAGTTTGTCCAAAGATACAATCTTACCGCACATCGTCTTCTCGCTTCTCATGATTTGGCACCAAAGCTATTGCACCCGCTCGATGACAATCCTCTCCTAGTAGGACGGTTACAAATGATTGTGATGGAGTTTGTTGGGGGAAAAATTGCACATGAAGTGTATGGTGTTTCCGATGACGTCATTGATGAAATCAAGCGAGCCATTAACATTCTCCATCATGCCGGGTTGGTGTTCGGAGATCTTCGAACACCCAACATAATGCTAACGAACAACAAACCCCTACTCTTTGACTTTGATTGGTGTGCCGAGGATGGTGTGGGAACTTATCCTAAAAGTCTCAATGATGTGGGTGGAATTGAATGGCACCAAGATGTAAAAAGGGGCGGAAAGATGAAGAAGGAACATGATCTCTTCATGCTGGAGAAGCTGTGCAAAGCCCTGTGTACTGTAAACTAGTGTACCTGTCAGTTGTCATGATCCCCTTTTAGGGAGAATGGGAGAAAAAGTAGACATTTAGCGATAGGATTATAACCATGTAACGCATAATCCACGTTGAACATGTACATTTCCTCCAGTACGTCATCTCCTATCATTTGACGAGCCTGCATTTACCCTGTAACTTCCTCCTAAATTGCTGGTTTATAGAGGTCCGTGAGATAGAAGGACGTAGTGAAACATATTCACCCTTTCTTGAACAAGTCCATTATGGAGTTCCAAATTCAGAACCGGGAATACACGGTTGGATATATAGCTGAGTAGTGTGAAGTTATTATGAATCCAGGATCCAGCTTCTATTTTAGTCGTATGTCTTTTACGATTTGCCAAATGGGCTCCGAGACTCTGATTTTCATATGGCAAACCAGATAGTGGCCAGAAAATAATGCAGCTAATACAAATAGATTCTAACAACTAGATCGTCCAAGATTACCGTGCACGGGTGATTACAGAATATAGATGAGTGATAAAGAATGGGCACAATTGCCAAAGAACGAAAGAACAAGAAAGCAAAGACACAAAAAATTAACGAAAGACAGAATCATCGGAAAGTTTCGCCGCCAGCGCGCTATTAATCTATGATGGCTTTGTCAGTTACAATCGATACAACAAGCACAGTCATACTCACATTATCAAGAGTAGATACAGGAGGAGGATCGCTGACACGACGTGACATCGTCTTGGAATCTCTCTGGAGGTTTTGGCGAACCTCCAGAAGCGGAGGGGATAGGGGTTCAGACAAAGATCGTGGTCGACTCGGTGTGATATCGATATCTTCCACAGGAATGCCAAGGAGCTCGAATAACTGATTCTGAGCTTGGCGCATACCCCTTACTGCAGAAGATGGAGTTGCAATCACGGACGATCGTCGTGAAGGAACGTGGCTGAGATGAGATGGATGAAGAGATTCTGTAACAAGGCGGGGTCCAGGAATAGCAGGTACCGGCGGGACATTGGGGGTGGAATCAGGACGAGAGCTAGAGCTATAGCCACTGGAGGAGTTTGGACCACCCACAACGCTCGCAAATCGAATGCTACTGGTTGACGATCTGGCACTTCTCCTGGAAGAGGAAAGCCTAAGACTAGCCTTGGAAGCGCGAATGCTTGTCTTGCGAGCTGCTGATACGGAGACCTTGGATGATCGAGGGCTCTTTGACCTATTTGCCAGTGATCCTGACCAAGCTGTGACAGAAGCAAATGGGCTCCTCAAGAGTTCTTCATCTTGTGAGCTGCCTTCCGGGCTCTTTGATTTCCCACCTTCCAGCTCCTTCTCAATGGCCTCAGCCGTGGACCATGCCTCATCCCTCTCCGCTTCCACCATAGCAAGTTGCAACTGCAAGTCAATCACCTCCCCTTTGGATCTTATCAAGCTCGAGTTCAACTTTCTCAAAGCCATACTCAACGCGCTCGAGAAATGTCTCTCCTTCAACTGCGAGATCTGTGCGAGTTGATCCGTGACTTGAAACAACTGTTCGCTCAATTGATCGCAGGCTTCAGAGAGCTCCGTTAGCTCATCCATCAGCCTAGCCGCAGTCTCGGGATCGGAGCCGTCGATGTAGAATGCCAACGATCGCATGAGAACCTTTCTTTTCCGAACATGATACTTGTATCTCGCTTTGATATCATCCCGCATCACTTCCAAATGATGAGTTTCATCCGGGATCTCGTGGTCGATGATTGTCGGATCAAGGAGTCGAATGGAAGATGATTCAGCGGATTGTCGAATAGCTTTTCCAACAATATCCTGAAGTTGCGTAGAGCTGAACGTCCATTTGGCAGCATCAAGTGTCAA